AGTATGATGACATGGATGTTATAGCACACACAGTCATGTATTATAGAGGACATTATATGTATAGTATGATGATATAGCACATATTTTATTTTATTATAAAACTGCCAACCTGTTAGCTCAGTTGGTAAGAGCATGGGTCTATTGTGTGGGAGGTTGTTGTTCAAGTTCTGGCCGGACCAACGCTCATGGTCTTAAAATAACTGAGGAGAAGGTGCTGCCTTTATAGCTACATATGCAAAAGGCTAGCCCTTCATGTGGCTCAGATGATCACATTGATGGTTGTCCCATCCCTAATTAACTATAGACATTAAAAGAGGACCACAAATTTATCAAATTTATTTTTTAAATTTAATTTTAGTGGAAAGGAAGAGCACCCCCACCATGCATCAATGTACCGCCTTCAAGAGAACTTCTACGCTTCATCATTCAATGTGTCTATTCTAGAGCAGTTAAAGATCCTGATAAACTTAACAGCTATGAGCCTTTTTCACCTGAGGTAAGCAGTTTTGGTTTATTTGTCAATATTCTGGGATTACACACCAACATGAAGAGTGATATGGACTGCTTGTTTAGCCTAAGAAAACAGACATCCTTTTGCTCCCCAGTCCCCCTGCAAAATTAACATCTGAGCAATGAGCAGGAAAATTCTGATAATGTAAGTGCTAACCAAACCACAACAAATTATTCGCACAAATGTACGGATTTCAAAGAAGGCGGTTATAACTTATCCATAGATTCATTGGAAGAATTTGTCATAAACCTTTGTAGTATTTTGAACATTTTCACATCCTAAGAGCTCTAATCGATACTAGAGAAGATTGAAGAACTTATTTATGAACCACTTCATATTTGATATAATATTCTGTACGTGTTGAGTTGCTTAACCTGAGAGAGGCTTCATAAAGTTTGATGATGCACACGAGAATCGAGAATCCTGGCCCAGTTCATTTTGAATACTTTCAAAGTCTTTTGTAAGGCCTTTTCTTTACTTTAACTGGCGATGACACTTCTTCCATAGTAAATAAAGGTCAATTCTAAACTGACTTCAAAAGGTATTTCCTTTATTATCCAAAGACACTCAGTTCTGCTACTTTATTTCATACTTATATGGCACAGTTATGAAGCGATTTCCATTGATTTTAAACACAAAACACGGAAAATATTGTCATCTGAATATTGATATCAATGACACCGCAACTGCCACACTCAATAGTTATCTGCTAATGTATTCATATTTATTCTCTAATCTTGGTAGCGCTACATTATCATTATGGAATTTTCTGGCTAGTTGCTAAGATATTACTTTTGCAGGGGGACTGGGGAGCAAATGGAGGTCTACGGTTTTCTCAGGCTATTGCATATATAATGATACGGTGAGGCCTCTCATCACTGTACACTTATTCCTGGGGTCGTGGGTTTGATTACTGGGAGGCCACATGTGTATAGAGTTTGTTTGACATACTCTTCTCTCCCTTGCAATGAGGTACTTCCCCTCTAGTTTTCTGTCATTAAGAATCAACATGTGATTAGAGTTTTATGTGCTGTAAATAAATTTATAAAATAACTGTTATAAATATCATGAACTGATTGGTTAGGAGCACATGCTTTATGAGAGCACACAGAATGTGCGCACACTTCAAGTTGCGTCATTCTATCTAAAATAACAGTTATTGTAATTTGTATTTTATAAAAATAATAAACTTGCCATGCTGTGTGGAGTTATAAAGCACTTACTTAGGGATTGGCAGAACACTTGAGAAGTGTCAAGAAGCACTCTACTAGGCGTTGTGCATCTCCTTACACTCCTAACTCTCATGTTTTGCCAGCCCCCACATTCTTCATAACCGCACACAGCACATGTTTTCTATTTCTTCAGTAGTGGTAGTGAGTGATGTGCGTGGAGTGATGGTTGTAAAAAGATTTTAAAAAACGGACACCTTTATTAAATTTTTTCATATACATGATAAATATGCAGGCATTTACAAGAAACTGCTGTCAAATGTTATTCTCGAATAGAAATGGTATTTTGTTTTAAGCCTTATGTAAGCCAAGGGTATTACTGAATATTTTGAATTCCTTGGTATTATCTAGGTATATGGAGAAACTTCATTTGACTTAATAGCACAGATGATCAAAGAAGTCCCCATGGGATCAGACCAAACATTCATTGATTTGGGAAGTGGTAAGTATTGGTGGTACTAATATCACTTATATATACAATATGAGTTTATAAAAAGCAGTAGAGAAATCAGTTCTATTCTTTTCTGATATTAGCTTGTCTGTTTGTTTTTTGGACATTTTTTCAAAAACACAAAAACATTATATCCTTTCTTTCTTTTCATATGATTGTGTATTTGTTAAAGGGTTCGTGCTACTCCTTAAGGTGCTGACACACGTTGCAACATTACACGCAACATTGCAAGCAACAAATTTGAATTGGGGTGACACACATTGCAACAAACTCATGCAACACTGCTTGTGTCAGCTTGCTATGTTAAGATATTTGGTCAGCAGTTATGAATTTGGTGCAAGCTGATTGGCTGGAAATTTCAAAATGTTGCAGCTATGTTCGCATGATGAAATTTGTTGCATGCAATGTTTAAAGGTTAGAGCGTGATTCAACTTCAGATTTGTTGCATGCAAGGTTGCGTGCAACAAGTTTAGGGTGAACACACTTTACAAAAGTCATGTTGGGGCAATGTTGCATGCAATGCTGCACTGCGTGTCGGCACCTTTAATCTACTTTAAAACCTTTTGAGTTTAATTTACGTTTTCAAGGACGCTTGAATTTTATGATTTTAGCAAAACTCCTTGAATTTCTGCTTTGATTGTTACTTGCATGGTTCTGAAATAGATCTACACTAGTCCAAAAAAAACATTACGTGAAATGCAGTATTCAACCATGCATTAATTCCCTTTTGTGAAAGGAAACTGGAAGTGAATCGGAAAGTCGGCTATTGCTAACACCATGTTAAACCATGGCCTGCTTAGTTGAACATACTTCTCAAAAAATCTGTTTGGGGGGCCTTTAGATACTCCTTAAATAGTCCTGGATATCTCTGCACAAATCCTGTTGCCTTTATGCTTGTTTATTTAGACGATTTTTCCTGATTGACATATTACCTGTGCAGCCATTTACTCACTGAGCTGCTTGCTTCTCAGATGACTTTGCTTGTACATACATGTATGCATATGATTAACAATAAGTATTATGCAGGTGTTGGTCAGGTTATTTTACAAGTCGCAGCCTCTGGCAATGTTAAAGAGTGTTTTGGAATAGAGAAGGCAGAGATTCCAGCATGCTATGCACAGGTAACACTTGGGAGGGACAATCAGTGTATCTAGGCTCTAAAATACCAAATGCTTTTAATTTTGCTTTTCTATGTGGCTTTTTTTTTTTTTTTTTTTTTTTTTCATGAAAACTCTAATTAGGAATGAATGATATTGCCCTCTTTGACTGAAGGTGTTACACCTAAATTCCAACATCTCTGTCTGGATTAACCCTGCCATTTGCTTTAGTATTGTTATGAATATACATAGTGATGAATCATATTTACCAATTATGTCAATTATTTTTTATTTATATATTGATTAGATAGCAAATTAACCTGTAATTCAGTTTTTTAAACAGCAATGGGTTTAAATAAACAAGATATTATTATTATTATTATTATTATTATTATTATTATTATTGTTTGAAACCAGGAAATGGATAAATTATTCAGAAAACTGATGAAATGGTTTGGAAAGACTCACAAGCCCTATACAGTAAGCAACTTGACACTTTTCTTGGTAACTAGGTAAATATATATTTGTTTACTTTCTGTCATTAATATTTATCTGTGATTTAATTAACAGTTAGTCAAGGGAGATTTTCTGGATCAAGATGTCAAAGAGAAGATCACTACATCAGGGTAAGTCTTGTGCCGCCTAGAAAAGAAGCAGTAATTAGCCATCTATGATAGCAAATTCTTTTACAGTATATAAAATGCCAAGTTCATATAAATCTTTCTATTCTTTTCTAAGATTACATGAATATTTCTTGGTAATGGACCATAATAATTTTCCAAACCAAGCTGCCATGGTTTTGCTTGGATATATTTTCATCTGTTTTGATTGCTTGCAGAACATTTATATCCAGGGAAAAAAAACAACTAAAAAGCCTCAAAAATGCCCAGGAGTCAAAGGGTATAAAATCAATTTATCTCATTCATCTGCTTTCTTTCTCTTATAGGATTATCTTTGTCAATAACTTTGCCTTTGGGCCATCAGTGGACCACAAACTAAAGGAAATGTTTGCACATATGAAAGAAGGTTAGTATTGAGTGCATTATTAAATGCTTGTTTTGAGATGCATGTAGAAATTAACTTTGTTGTCAATTAATATTGCTGCATCTTAATTATTTTATAAATGTATTTGAATTTTGTGATCTGCTCTGCTCTTGAATTGTTTTTTACCATAACAAAGTCAAAAAAATTGAACAAAAAGACATGTACATAGTTTGAAAAAACCATTTCATCCGCACGTTCAGTGTGTGTGGCAGATGTCGTAAGCACAAGCAGGCCTAGCCTCTAATTGACAATGGTTCTAAGCCAATCAGCATGCGAGAAATTTCCAAGTTATAGTAAAAAATGAATTTTCTTAGAAACCCTTATTAGCAGAAAGCTTGAAAATCATCCATTTATGAAAATCATCCATTTACTTGCATGAGTTTTATGATCTATACAGTACTAGGTGCAAAAGCAGGACAAACAACTCTTAAAGGTTTCTCAGTATTTTCATGCGATTCAGCTTCAAATTTCGTCAATTTTAATCCTTTTTTTGAACCAAATATCCAATAGTTTCTTAAGTAGCTGTTTATTATATTTGCATCTTTTAAAGTAATGTTCTCATTTATTTGGTGTTTTTATGGAAAAGCAGAAAAAAATTAAAGTAACATACAAAAGTTAATGAAAGCTCTTTATGATATACTTTATGACATATATTTTATCTTTAGTAAATCTGTCAGAGAACACAAATTTATGAGCTATGGGATTCTATTGAAAACTTGTGATTCAGCTGATGAACATTCCAAATGAGTCAGGAAATGTCACGTCAATATTGTGAAATCAGGCAGTTAGATGCTCAAATGTTAGAGTAAACTCCCTCATGCTTAGTGGCATTATAAATGCAAGTGTTTGCTTGTGTTTGACACATTCTTGCATAGAAAATAGAGTTGTGGGGAGAGGGGATAAAGAAATATTTTTTTAAATTGATTGCTTTGATTGACATGTATGACGTTGTGTGATGATTAGGTACCAAGATCATCTCTTCTAAGGCATTTTGCCCTCTCAACTTCAGAACCACTACTAGAAATCTATCAGGTAATTAATTGACCAGCTATTAATACCTAAGTTAGGCTTCTAATGGTTATTGTTTAATTGTCTTTATATATTTATACATTATTATATATTTATCTGTGAGTACTGTATGACCCCTTTAGCTTGGGTGTAAATGTTTTTCTCATTTCAGACAACGTGTCATTCTCTTGAGAATAAGATTTGTTGTTTGATTGAAGTATCCATAATCATGTGTCTTCTCATGTGCAACTGTTAAGCAAAGAAATAATACATGAATGAAATATGGTATGAAATGGGCAAAACATTACTCCCAATGCAAGCTAACGAGGTCTACTGAAAATAACTGTCAATTACTTAATATGGCTCATGCCTAGGAGTGTTAATGTGTCAGAATGGCTCCACATCTCTCTAACAAAGAAAGATGATAATTAATAGGCAGGAGAACCATTGATGAAAATGCGTAATATGTTTTAAACGTCTGTATTGACTTTTTTCCTCAGATATTGGAACTATACTAAGAGTATCAGAGCTGAAGCCTTTAGGGGGTGCTGTGTCTTGGACTGGTAAATCAGTGTCCTATTATGTACATGTCATTGATAGAACTCTGGTAAGTTAACTGAAAGAATAAAATATCAGTGATATACAATCATTATAGCGGACTTACATTAATACTGACCAATCCACCATTCACCTTACTGTATGGTGTGGGTTGATAACGATAGCCTTAGGGCAATATAAACAGGGACGGGGTGTGCCCCCCCCCCACCAAATTTTTTAGGGGTCCTGGCCCCCCCCAAAATATTCATTCTTAGTCATTGTTTTACAGCGCATGCGTCTGCAATCAAACAAAACATTGTCGTCATCACATAGTGTTAAATATAATCTTCGGTGCCCCCCCAAAGATTTTCGCAGTGCCCCCCAAAGATTTTTAGCTTCCGCCGCCCCTGATAAATGCACATGCTCTGCAGTCAATCTATGTTACTTATCTAATTGCTTCAGAGCTAAAGACCGGGTCTTCTTGGACATCATCCTACTTCTTTAGCATTGAGTGTAACTAACTAGTTAGTCATTTTTTTCTCAACTTATACATTTAGTTTTTAATGTTCAACTCTTGCCTAAAATTGCTTAATCTTAGGTAGTGTTACCAAGGGCTTTTACTCTACGGATACTTCAACTGGGACCACTTTGATAAACTAGTATCATTAACCAATCATATTGCAACATCTTGTTCAATATTTTTAACCAGCCAATCAGATTGCATGTGGATATAATGAGCATGAGAATGTGGTAATCTCCACTGTTATCAGTTCAATTTCTGCGTAGTTTACTGTTATCTGATTGGTCAGTTTTATGCAAGTGGTCCCGGTCAGTGTGTCTGCACAATGAGGCAACACATGCTGCTCATTCTAATGATTGTCTTGCAAGTTTGCATGTCTGTTTATCTGTTGTGCATTGTTTGGTTCTCAGGGCACACAAACAAATATATATTATGTTAATTAATTAATTTGTTAAGTAATTGAATCCCAAACTTTTTTTATTGTTATTAGCTGGAGAATTTCTTTTCTGATTTAAAAAGAAGAAAGGTAAGATTTGATAGGCTTTTTACTGTACACCATACACCACTGAGGTTCTTGTTGAGTTTATCTCACTTGAAAATAGTTTTCTTTTTTCTAATATAAATGGTTAAGAGTGGTTTTCAAAACCCCATGAAACAAAGTGAAATAACTAAGGTGTAATAAATTGTAATACACCTAAAACACTAAAGAAAATCAAAAGAAAATGTGGACAATAAAGCATATTAAAGTGTAATACGCTAAAGTGTATTTCAGGGGTTTTTGAAAACAACTCTATTATGAATATCATTCATGCAATGTACTTTTAATTCAAATGTAAATTCTAACAACAACTGAAAATAAAGTTAATTTGAAATTATCAAGTATTCTATTAAATTTACACCATACCAACAAAGTACTCATTTTGATTTATTTCATGTATTTTTATTCTTTCATCTATTTATTCATTTTTCTATTCATTCATTTTCCCAGGAGGGACGTGATAGCAGTGATATGAGCAGTATTAGTGGGTCCATGAGTAGTATGCTCAATCTAGGAGAACTTGATGACGTTATGTTTGGCGTGTCTACCCGTAACCAATGGCAACATCTAATCACTCAGATAGAAGCCACCACTGATAACAACAAGAAAAACAGGTTATCACAAAAGCCAAGTCACAACAAATATGACAAGAATCCTCAAATCAACAAAGAAAATCAAAACGAACTTGATACTGCTTTTGGGAAGTCCAAGGTAAATTATGTTGTAGTTGTCGTACTTAGGGCTTTGCAAAGTACTCGTATGATATAGTGCGTGGAATGAATAAAAATAATGTAAAATACTGCAAACATGTGTGGGGAAATGGTAGCGTAGAAATGGTCTGTTTTACCTATATGGGGGCCATTCTATGGATTCATGGAATGATTCATGGGATGCCAAAAGGGCAACTATTGTAAAATGTATAGACTTCATAGCAGTCATCAGTCTCATTACACTTTACAAGGAGAAGCACATCTAAAAAGTTATTGAATTTGCTAGTAGTTGAAATAACTAACTTTTACTTTTAAAGAATACTAGTACAAGGAATAGAAAGATTTGTTCTTGTATTGTCATGGGAAAACATAAGTCAATTGCAACCATTTTTTAGTTTCAGATTCTGAGATATTAAAGTTAAATATTTGAGCTTATGAGACATAACACTGGTAACTGAAGGGACTTTGAACCATGAAACACATCAATTACTCCATTAGTATTTCTGATGTAAATGTAGATCAGTCTGTATCTAGACTGTGATGGCATTTCCTCTACTGTAACAAACATAAAACATAAAATAATGATATTTTCCATACATGCTGAACACGTATCCAGTGTTCTTACCAGGTCACGCCATTGCGGGATTCGTGCATAAAAATCAGAAATGGTAGACAAATGTCAACTCTATACGCCCCCAAGGGTGCATGAATTATCCAAAGAATACTTCCTGATAGTTTTAAAAGATTTATAGTGCTTTTGAAATAATAAAAGTCGTATTATATTGTCAATAAACAAGCTGAAAGTCCACATGAAACGAAACGAATCRAACATAGTTAACTCGCCAAGAGGTCTGGGACTAGTCTGTGTTAACTGACCTTGTTTATTGAAGGCCTAAGTATGGCTGCCCAGGGAAATTTTATTGTTTTAAAACTGCCTTACATTGTTGTAGATTTGCAACCGAGTTACTGGCAAAAAACATTATCATTCTTTGTTTTAAGATTTTGGAAATGGCCCATCCAGTTTTCTAAATGGCCCCTAAATTTCGGATTGATGGGCCCTTTGACCCCCTGAAAGAAATTCCTGGTAAGAACACTGTGTATCAGAAATATCTATTGATGTAGTCAAGAGAGTCCACATTGTGTCATTTATGAAATGTTTTCATTCATGTTAACATAAGGCAAGAAAACCAAATGCAGCTCAAAAAGTACGTAAAAAATACCAACAACAACATCAGAGCAAGCAGAGATTAAAGAAGGAAAGACCTAAGAATGGTAGAGTCCACAAACAGTCTCGTAAAGAAATCATGACTAAAATAAAGCAAAGAAATAAGAAGAAAAATGCCAACCTAGCAGCTGCGGCTCTGGACAAGGCTACAAGAAAAGCTTTGGAGGTAATGACTTCTTTGAATTTGCTCACTACTTTGTCTCTGACTAATACATGATGCTCCATATATATGTATATTATTGGATCGATTATGCATCAGTGGCTATAAAAGAACAATACTCAAGGGAATGATGTAATGGGAACCCAGAGAAACCCCCCCCCCTGGACATCTCTATCCACATGTATTCTAAGTCCTGGCAGGTTCTTTTTTCTTCCTTCCTTCTTTGCTTTATTTGTTTTTGATTTTGTTTTTGCTTATTTGTTATTAATTGCAAATTATGTCATTATAAATAAATAATGTATCTAATTGGGCTGATCTGTGCAGTATATCAAGCAACTTATGCAGCTGGCGATTCCGATGCCATGCTCTAACCACTGAGCTACCAAGTCTCATATGAGACTTACAAGGACATTTAACTGTAAAGATGGACAGAATAGTATGTAATGTATTTGAAAACATTTTATTTGCTGACACAGAAACTCAAGCCCAAAGGTCCTGGTAGAGGGGGTATAAGAGTAGCATCTGCGACACCACCACCGCCACCTGTTACATATGGATTGTACGGCAATGAGAATACCTACTTGCCTACTATGCAGACACTTCCAGGGCTGGATCATCTTCTTGGTAAGCAGTCTTTGCAAGAGGACCATGTTAAACAGTAACATTGTGTGCATTCGGTCCAGGGTTGAAATTTGAAGGGGCAAGTTTCTGTTTCTTTGACAGAACAAAATTTTAAATAGCATTATATTTTCTGATTGTCACTCTGATATTCATTTACAAAAGAGCTTTGAAGTATAGAAATTGAGAAGTTAAATTAATGATCATTACAAACATTTATTGCTGTATTTCAGCAGTTTTTATGAGCAGTAGCGCTTGTGAATACATCACAACTTGAATCTCTATACAACCAGTATTAATTACCCTATTTCACTATGACGTCACATCAAAACAATCTATTGTTTAAACACAAAGGATCATGGTCGTCAGAGGGGTCAAATCAACGCAAATTCACTGAAAAATTTTTCTAAAACCTGTATCAATCCACGAAGAGAAGTAGAATAGCCAGCAAACTCTCAGAATATTTTTGAGTACATGTTAAAACAATTATTATATCTGAAAACCAGGCCATATTAGATTAAACTGTTTCGCTAGGAGCAAATTTTGTTGAATTTTCTATTGGATTTGGCGATTCTATCCCCAACATAAAGGAGCAGTGACGTCATAGTGAAATAGGGCAATTCAGAAATCATACATTTCTTTTGTGTACAAAATTAATAATGTGATAATAGTGTCTACCAGAGGTCAGTTTTTGTTTTGAATATTCATTGACTTTATTGTCTGTTTATTTTCCACAGAGGTTTATCGCTATCAGTATTTGCAGTTTTTCCAATATATGCAAACAACACAATACTCAGAAAGCTTATACAAACAAATAAAAAGAGAAAAGGTAAAGGTATATTGATGTATAAAATTGAATGAAATTTATAATATTTACATGTAAATTAAAATGTCTAAAAAATCTTGTTTTTTAGGAGCGAAAACAAGAACTAGTTTTCAAAATTGAGCAAGTTGAGAATCAGATTAATAGTCTACAAAAAGATGCATTATCTTCACTTGACAAGCGCATGGAAGAGGTATGAACAACTACAGCCCCTCCTCCATCCCCTACTTCACCACTGCACCCTGGACTTTAAAAAAGCCGGCCAGTCGCTGGTCATAATGACTGGTCAAATTAGTTTTAGTTTGTCATATCTCATTTCTAACTTGTCAAAACAACCGGCAAGGCAAAGATTTAACTGGACAAGTTCCAATTCTGATCAGACTTTGTCCGATGTTCGGCCATTATTTTAAGCCCTGTGCACCATTCTCCTAGTAATGTAAACACAATTACTTTTTTTTTGTAAAATCTGAGGTTTCAGTCAGAATAGACTTAGGCATTCAGTTTTTTAGAAGGAGGGGAAGGCCACAGGAATCTAGGGAGAGGGGAGGGGGGGGGGGGTTGGGGGAGATAATTTAAAAAAAAGGGTTATTGGTATTTCCATTCAATCCAAGGTTCTGCCACTGAAAAAGACTAAACAATCAGTAGGGTCACAATATTTTTTAAGATGGAAGGTAGTTTTTTGTATGATTGTTCTTGTACATTGATTCCTCCCCTAGTGCCCTTCCCTATACACATAGATACTTCCTAATATGGAACAAATGATATTTAGTGTAGATAGACAATGATTGAGCTGTATTGAGTATAATAAGTGAGATCATAGACATCCAGATTGAATTTTAAAAGCAATAGACAGTTTTCTCAAGGTTGCGTGCCCATCCAAATTTAAGGAACTTGACGGGCCACGATACCAGAAAAGGAGCTTATAATGAGAATTATCATACATTCCTATTCTCTACTTTCACATCCCCTTAATGCCTTGCGTTTTTGGGGGGTAACCAATCAAAAAACGGTCCCAAATTGAAAGGTTTCTTAATTGAATTTATACTATACCTGCTTTTATCTGTACAATACTGATTATCAGTTTATTCCAAGTTATTTTTGCGTGTACAGATCATGAAGAGTTTTGGTCTTACAGAAAATGTATTGACTTGAAAGATGTTTAAAATTTACCTTAAAAGTCTTCAAGCTTCTATCTTTTTCTGTTTTTTACTTCTTTATTTATGTTTGGATACCAAACAAGGTATTTTCAACATTGTCTGATCAGCCTTCAGCGAAATAAGTGGGTTTTACCCTCTGGTTACCCCCCAAAGAGGCAAAGGATTATGGGGATGTGAAAGTCGAGAATTAGATTTTTTCATTAAAAATTTATCAAATTGATTATTCTCCTCTTTAAATGTAAAACTGGCTTCTCAATTGTACTGAATTTGCCTTTTTTCAATTTTGTGGCCCGTCAAGTTGGATGCACGTGCAACCTTGAGAAAACTGTCTATATATTGAGCAAAATGTATGCTAAAAAATATATGTAAAAACACTAGATGAAACCAATACAAACCAAAAGAACAGAGACATCATATTTGGTTGTCTTCAAACTTATAAGCATGAAAAATCCAAAAAGATTGATGATGATGATGATGATAATGATGACAACAAGGACAACAACAATCAAGATGGCACTGAGTGTATGTTTGTTGTACCTCGATTGTTTCATGGACTCATTGTTTTATTCTCTAGATTGGTCTATCAGTCACCACTCCAAGAGATCTTCTTATCAAAGCTGGTGAGTTGCTCTCTCAGCATAAAAGACTAAAAGAAAGAGTTAAAAGATGCGAAAAAGAGGTCAGAAGTCTAGAGCGCCATAACCACAGCAATGGACAAAAATCACTGGTGAGTAGGAGAATATCAGTTTTGGATCAACTTACACCAAGACTTCACTTTTGGAAGTTACTCATTTGATTTTATGAAACTGGTACACCGGGAAGTACCCTGGGTTCCAAAGGAAATTTTTCCAAGGATTTACTGACTGAGAGCTGTGAGGTCGCGAGAGATGAAAAAAGAGTCAGTAAATCTGTGGAAAAAATCCCTCTGGAACCCTGGGTAACCAGGAAGCCCCCCTCCACCAACTTGATCATACGTGGCCCGGCTGTACAAAAGGTAGATGTTCCAATGGATAATCCCTTGTCCAGTGAATAGGTTGATGCTGTTATCCAATCAATTTATTCACAGGATAAGATGTAAGTATCTTCCCCCTCCTACCCAGTCCCCTCCCCCCTCCCCTGAGGCCTGATACTCAGGTTAATAGATATGGACAGGAATCAAAGCCTCAAGTGAGAAACAATGGTTCAAACACTGAAACAGAGTTGGAAAAAAGGATAGCCAAAAATCCTTCTGAGACCTTCCCTAGAAAACTGAAACTGATCAGGCAAATCTTTATGGTATATTTTGTTTTCTTTTAGTCATCTCATGCAGAGGATAATGCAGTCAGTCAGGACAAACAAGCTCATGGAGGAGTTTTGAATAACTTGGTACGACTATTTATCTATAAACCAGTTCATTGTCGCGGCTTGCCAGTTCATAACTGTTAGTCATTTTCACTCTCTTTTTCCATCATTATCTGTTTATTACTGGAACAGAACATGGCCAATCTAGAAAGCTTTAATACAAAAATAGGGATCTAAGAAATGTTCTGTAGTTAAAAAACAAATCAGCACCACATTCAACTATTTTGGGGGAAGCACGGGTAGCAGTGAGAGCGTTCACCTATCACCAAAGCAGGTTCTAGTTCCGCTGGGTTCAATGTCGTATGTGAGAACAGCTTTTGGTTCTCTCCTGTGCTTCGAGGGTTTTCCTCCGGCTTTTCCGTTTTGGTTTTTTTTTTCCTTACGCCAAAATTAACTTCTAAATTCTGATTCGAGCTATCGTTAGCCCACCATGGAGTGGTAAGTCTATTTAATTTTTATCTGTTTTGTAGACCTTGCCTTAAGAAAGCAAAGCAGGTGTTTATCTGCTAACAAAATCATCTCGATAACGCGAAATTTAGCACAAAGAAACTACCTCTCCCATGGACTCAACAATTGCCAACCTATTGTTTTTATCTTTACAGCCTGTCGAAAAACCAGCTCTACAAAAAGAACTAATGAACGGCATCGTCGAAGCCTGGGCACAGAGAAAAGCCTTAATGGACAAAATCTCTAGTATGGAGAATCAAATGATTAAGAGTGATGGCCCCCCTGGTGTTACTAGCCCCACACCCACTAGGAGTACCCACGATACTACCCCTAGCCTTGACAGTCAGACCATGAACACTCTAACATCCAACAAGGAATTTGTTGGCGAACCTTACTTTAATGCGTCGTCTGCTTCACTGGATCCTTTGATAACACACACACAAGCAGTAGGAAGCAGCACGTCTTACCAACCAACCCCCAACTTGGTTGCTTCTTCTGTTTCTCCACATCTAGAGCATGGTAAAGCTTCAAGCCCTTCACTAATTAGGTCAGCAGATAATTCACCAAAATCTTACGGGACTTCTGGGATTCAACTGCTGTGTGATCTTCTTAATGGAACTCTTCCTGAGTACCCTGCCAGACCTTGTACGCCATCATCAGCACACAACACAGCAACGACCAATCAAAGCAAGTCCAGCCCAGTCTTTGGTTCTCGTGGTGTAGAAAGCCCGAACGAGCAATTAAGGCAAACAATAGATAACATTCAAGGAAACAGGAAGTCCCCAGGCAACGCAAACGGTAGTCTGACTGATCGAAGGCTTAACGACAGTCCAAGTAAAATCAAACCTTTACGTACGAGTTCTCCATTTAGTATTAGTAGTCTAGTCAATACAGATGAAGCTTCGTGTAGCCAGCTGGCTGGAAACACGCTGCAAAACGCTGCCGGTATAACCTCTCAAGCCGGTGGTAACAACTGTTTATCGTACAGATATAATCAACAACCTTCACCCAACACAGCCACTCGACCAACAAAGACAAAGTCTCCGTCGAGTAATTTTAGTATTGCACATTTGACAAAAGATCTTAAGAGTCCAGTAGAGATGAACCAAAATCCTTCTATATCATTCACTGCAGAACAACATCAGATGTACAGCAGTGATAATCGAGTGAAACCACCCCGTCACATGCTGTCTACAGAAAACATAAAGATGGATAGAACAACGATGATCAATAATCATAAAGATGATAGAGTCGAGTTGTGTCATGGGCCTTTACTCACAGAACCTACGAGCTCTGGCGCATCTACTAAGGTCGTTGTTGCTGATAGTCCATCCGCTCCTGCCCCAAAAAGACGACCGGGTCGACCTCGAAAATACCCACCTAAACCTAAAGTTACTAGAGACTCACCAAAACCTAAAGGAAGGACTGCTGAGGTGAGCTCTACCTTGTCTCCTTCAAAGATGATTTCAACTAGTGATACTCCACAAACAACAAGTTTGTCATCCCTTGATAGTTCAGATGTTGAAGTTAGTACTTTACTTGCTAAGGAAGTTGAACCACAGTCACCATCGATATCCTCCTCGGAGCATAAACCTACAGAAGGGTTAGTTGGTGCTAGCACTCCTGGTCTAGTGGATAGTAATCCTTGTTCTGCTAATAGTCCTATACGTATGCCTTCATCACCGTCACTCAGTAGTTATCAAAATGGAGCGCTACCCTCGTTTGATGCTACTTTCTCTCCGACAAAGAAACACATGCCAGTAAATCTTCTAGACCCAGAACACACGCAAGACAAAAGGTGAGTGACCGTGACTTTTCAGTCGTTGATTTCATTTTCTTGTCTTTGTTTCCTTTCCTTTCCTTATCCTTCCTTTCCCTTTCCTTTCCCTTTCCTTTCCTTTCCTTTCCTTTCCTTCCCAAAATCCAATTTCTAAGGTCATGCTTAATATTTTACTCTTAAATTTCGGCTGTGAAATATTACATTTTGCAGAGTTATACTCGGTCTCAGATTTCAGTTTTCAGATCTCCGAACAAC